CAAATTTCCCGAAAAAAAAATAATGACACAAAGGAGTTTGTTGTATGACTTCTGGATAATTGATTTCAATAATGGTACTCTTTGTCAGTTATAAACTACTACAGTAGAAAATGTGATGAAGCAGGAAGAATTGCAATGTAACAGATTTTGTCAGCCATCTGATTTTAACCTTTTCAGCAGCTAAATCTGAAACAAATGCATCTGGATCAAGACACAAAGATTCATTTATGTGTTCTCTAAGTAACAGCTTGACTCTGATGAATCTGGTTTAAAACATCTGTTTTTACAGAATAGATGTTAATTTCTCAATTAATTGTAAAGTTCAAAAGACAAAATTTTCCTTTGGGAAGAAAATGCTTTCTAACATACCGTTATAATAAATAACTTCCATCTGTCTATGTGCGCTGCATTTTTTAATCATAGTTAAAATTGATGTAAAGTTTAAGCACTCTGTTAAAAGTAAAATGATAACCAGAATCATGACATCTAAGATACAATAGCTGTATTAAAAGTGAGACACTTAAAAATATGTTGATGTTCTAATAAGAACTTAAATTCTCTGCTGATTCACAGCACATCCGGTGGTATCAGTCATAAAACAAGAACAGAATTTACATCTGAGTGGTTCAAGCAGCACGAAATTTTCCATCTTAATCAAAAGATCATGAAAAATATATGACTTCCAAAAATACGTAATTGAAATGGGTGCTGAAAGATTTTTAACAAAACTGTAACAGATTACAATTCAATTGATTATCCAAATTATATGATATTTTGCTATTTTGTAGAAATAAATGGTTGTAAAAGAGTGTTCACTCATCAATTTCTCAGCAAGATTTATGAAACATTTTGTTTGAATGGTGCACAGGGCGCCTACAGTTTGAATAGAAGACACTTTACTGAATTAGTCAGTGAGATCTCATTGAAATGACTCAGCCCACAAAAACTCTTTTGAATTTGCTGAAGCTTCACAGTGTATACAAGTTAGAGCAGTTTCACGGGCTACCACATCATTGCTGTGCTGTAAAGTTGTAAGATACTAAAGACAACTATCCTTATACTGTCTCAGGTTTAAATATTTAATAAATTACCATAGGCTTCCTCTTAAGTGTCATGACTGTTTTCTTTTTCTTACCGCAATACTTAAGACACAATGACATGAGGTGAAATGTGTCTTGGCAGAGAGAAAATACATCATCTACCACTGGTACTCCCCCTTGTACCCCTACTGCACCTGGAGCTATGGGCTTCTTGTCTCTCTTAACCCTAACTCTAACCCCAGGAAGGGCCTAGGCCTTAGCCCTAGACTTCCCAGCATGGCCCAGAAGTAAGAATTTTTTGGGAGATAATTATTTTTCCTCCCTTCCATGGGAGGCAGATGTTGCTACAAAAATGGGCTATTGGAAAGTATCTACTTATGTCTTAGGCCAACCTGCAGACTGTTCACCCTTTTGTGACAGGTGGATCATAAACACAAGCTTAGAGCTCTGGTCTACTCTTTACAAAGTCCCTAGGTAAAAGAATGTACTGTAACAAAAATAAATTTTCTAGTCATATTTCCGCATTGGAGTTGGTTTGTATCTACTTTAAAGTTGAATTTCTTCTCTAAAGGAGCTTTTGATTGTCAGAATTATGCCAATGTCAGTATTTACAACGGCAGCATATCATTCTTGGGATAATAAAATGCATTATTTTACATTCTGTCCAATCAAGCATTCCTACTTTATCAAATAATTGAGGTTAGAAGTACATGCTTTTGGGTCTTGAGCAATATTGAGCATTGCTAAGATCAGTAGCTACAATTTCTCAGTAAATTAATACCTATAAACTTTGTTACAGGAATTGATCTAAGTGACTAAGCAGGCACTCCAACAATTCCTTTTTGGGAAATGATATCATTCTCTCATATGAATGAAATTTTCCATACCCAGAGAAAACTTCAGTGAATGGAAATATAGACATCCTCAAACCTTTTGATATGCTATAGCATATAACTATGCCTGTGATGGCATTTTGGTTTTTTCTGGGCATGTATGTCAAGCAGGTATGTGTGTGATGCCTAATGAGGCTAGTACTGTTGCAGGAATTACAATTTATAGGTAATTTATTTTGAATCATCGCAGTTAGAAAGAACACTATGCCCACATCTACTTCAACAGAAGAGCTTTTACTTCTGGATGCATGGCATGGCCAAATACAAGCATGGCAAAGTAATGTGAAATGGGCCACAGCATGAGTAAAATGTCTAAAATGCCTCCACGAGTGACTGTGTGTTTATATGTATGCAAATATCATGGAGGGCAATGCAGGCAAGAACTGAAATTTTGTGGTGATGATGCCACTACTAATAGTTTCAAAACCAATTCAGCTGAATTTACATAACTGCAGAGATTTGAGCAGGGTCATATAGCACAAATGCAAGTAAAGATTTTTCATGGTGTAAATATAAATATTTTTTGTCACTGTATGCTGGAAGGTCTGATGCCAACACATCAGAATATACAACCTCTAACCCCCCAAATATAAGTATGAATTTTCTAAAAAAATTTGTATGACATGCTGAAGTGCTCTAACATCTGGCTAAAGCACTTGTATACAGCAACAGTCTTAGGAATGGCAAGATCATTTGCAAAGGCTTCTCAACAAATGCACTTCTACATTAGAGTATAAATACAAAAAGTCCTCAAAAGTCACAGAGAGTATCATCCAAATAGAACTTGCGTGCAATTACTAAAAACTGAATAAGGTTATTTTTGTAATGTGTAGGGGTGTATATATACATCTATATGGATTCACAATCTGCTCTTTAAACACAGAAGAAAAAGGAACAGCTTGGTAAGGGTCATGCAAAAGTATGTATGTGCTGAATGTAATACCCTTGACAAGGCGTCATAGAGCGCATGCTTGTCATATTGGAGTGCCTAGGTGTACATTGACTGAAGGTGATGACTGACGTGAGGAAAGTCATACAGTCAGAGAGGTTACATATGTGTTGGAATAGATGCTGATGGCGTTAAGGGATATAGGGATATATAAGGTGCTAGAGAGAATAAATTCCTGATGAGGGGTTGTAACAAATTGAAGGTAATGCTGCATGTATCTGCATATTAAAGTGGTGGGTAGTGATAATACGCATAATTGTGATGGTGGGCAGACAGTGATAACAAGATCTGTGAACAGTAGGAGGTGATGGGTATGCCTGGTAAAATGAGTAGGTTGTAAGGATGCATGTGTGATGCTGAATCTAGTGGTGCTATAGGGAGCATATAGCAGCATATGCATTGTGGTGATATTTGTGTGATGTGGACCTGCTGTTCTTGGCAAAAGTAGGTGGTGCTCATAGGCGAGAGTTTATGTGAAGAGGTGGGTTGTTACCCATACAGGTATGGTATGCTCACACATATAAGGGGCTACAGCCAACAGAATAAGGAAGCAATATCTGAGTATTTTGTATGTATACCTGTGCTGAGGGAGTGTTGATGCAGTGAGCAAGTGTGAAGGTGTGTTTACTAGTGAGTAACCATGTCTGGTTAATACAGAATGGTCAGGTGGTAGTGGTACAGGAAAGATGATTAAGTGATTATGTAAAAGTATGCAAGGACAGACTGTATACACAGAACAATAGCATATAGGGAGATATAAGACAAATTTCCCAGAAGGAGAGGTGTGTGGGAAGGTTGTTAAAAACAACCTTTTTTTAAAAACAGGAAAGCATGCTCACCAGGGCACAGAGATGCAGTATTAGGACTATCTGCAGGTGTTCATGTGTATTTGGAACTGGTGGTAGAGATGAAGCATATAAGGCACCAGTGTCTGCCTAGATTTGACAATATGAGCAACTATAGGCGTATAGTTACCCTGGGCTCAGGGTGTATGTACAAAACAGCACAGTACAGATCAACGTGTAGAAGTAGTTTTTGTGTTAGTATAGAATAAGTAATTTATGTAGTGATGGCTATGTATTTGTAGAAGCAGTGAATGACTGGAAAGGTGCCTATGGTTTGTGTCACTGTGTAGTGCTGAGAAGGGTTTATAGCCTCACCTTGTGTGGATACAATCCTATCAGGGATATGCATATGTTTTAAGTACAATATTAAAAGAGGGGGCTGTAGCAGTGGTGAGGCAGCATGTGATGGTTGAGCTTAAAGTGATCCTGTGAGTGGAAGCAGTATGTGAGGGGATACAAGAGTGGACAGATGCTTGGTTTGCATACCAGCATAGGATGGTCTTGGCACCATCGTGGTGTAAATAGTGATGGCACGCTGTAGTGTGCAAACTGATCAGTGTACTGTTGGATGTGACGGACAGAGGCATGTACTGGGGTGTCAGAATGGGGTGTGGTGGGCATTTTCAGGACAGTGTGGAGAGGGGTAGGTCTGTAAAGTATTGGATGCTGCTCATGTGTGATTTCTGGTGGTGATGGTAGGATAGCACAATGCAGATGGCATGGAGTTGCATGGTGGTAGGAGGCATGGACAGTGCTTTGTGCATAGGTTTGAAGGTTATGTAGTTTGTCATAGTGCCGTGCCTGGTGGCAGCACTATGGAGTGGGCAATGTGCTTGGTGCAGTGACAGAGAGGGTTACAGCAGCTGCATAGGCATGAGGTGTGCCTGCCCAGGTAACGCTGCTCACCCACCCATGATTCAGGCCTTCCTCTTAAAGGAGAAAGGATGGACCCTTTGACTGCAGTGCCCCTGGCCTGGACCTAGGTGCCATGAAGGAGGAGGAGAGGATGGTGATCAGCAGGAGAGGGGATTGGTGCGGGGTGGGGGAAAGAATACTGGAGGGGACAGCAGTGCGGGGTCGGGGGGCATTGCACGGTGGGGGGCAGTGGGGATAGGGGACAGGCTGCACTCCAGCAGCCCTGGACCTGCCAGAGCTGCGAACAGTCGGAGGGCGGGATGGGAGGCGGGCGAGGGGAGTAGGTGGGTGGGGGGTTGGAAGGGACACCCACTTACGTCTCCTCACGCATTTTTTTTCTCTTTCCCTCCTCCTTTCCTTAGCTGGTGACGCGCCTCTGCTATTAATCATTCACCAGCCGGGGAACAGCAATTGCCGCCGCTCGAAGCGAGCGACGCCGGCAGCCGCCTCCCTCCCGATGCCCGCGCCCCGCAGCCGCCGCGCCGGGAGCCCTGCCGGGATGATGCCGAACCCAGCCGACGGCGGGGGCCTGCTGCTCTGAGACGGGGCGGGGGGTCCGGGCAAAGGATGCTCCCCAATGGCACCTGCCCCAGGCTTCCGGGTGGTGCAGGCAGCGACAGCGGCGGCAGCGACAGCGGCGGCAGCGACAGCGGCGACAGCGGTGGCAGCGGAGACAGCGGCGCCTCGGGAGAGGCGGCGGCGAGGGGCATGGACTCGGGCGGCAGGAACTCCTCTGGCGCCCCGAACAGCACCCTGAGTGAGTCTCAGGGCAGCGCCATCCTCATCTCATTCATCTACTCCGTAGTGTGCTTGGTGGGGCTGTGTGGCAACTCCATGGTCATCTATGTGATCCTACGTTATGCCAAGATGAAGACGGCCACCAACATCTACATCCTCAACCTGGCCATCGCAGACGAGCTGCTGATGCTCAGCGTCCCTTTTCTGGTTACCTCCACCCTGCTGCACCACTGGCCCTTTGGCTCACTACTCTGCCGCCTGGTGCTCAGTGTGGATGCCATCAACATGTTCACCAGCATCTACTGCCTGACCGTGCTCAGTGTGGACCGTTATATTGCTGTGGTGCACCCCATCAAGGCGGCTAGGTACCGCCGGCCCACTGTGGCTAAGATGGTCAATCTGGGTGTCTGGGTGCTTTCCATCCTCATCATCCTGCCCATCATCATCTTCTCCAACACAGCAGCCAACAGTGATGGAACGGTGGCTTGCAACATGCTCATGCCAGAGCCCACCCAGAGGTGGCTGGTGGTCTTTGTGATCTACACTTTTCTGATGGGCTTCTTGCTGCCTGTAGTGGCCATCTGCCTCTGCTACATCCTCATCATTGCCAAGATGCGCATGGTGGCCCTGAAGGCTGGCTGGCAGCAACGCAAGCGCTCAGAACGCAAGATCACCCTCATGGTCATGATGGTGGTGATGGTCTTTGTCATCTGTTGGATGCCCTTCTACATTGTGCAGCTGGTCAATGTCTTTGTAGAGCAGGATGATGCCACCATCAGCCAGCTCTCTGTCATCTTGGGCTATGCTAACAGCTGTGCCAACCCTATCCTCTATGGCTTTCTCTCAGACAACTTCAAGCGGTCCTTCCAGCGGCTGCTCTGCCTCAGTTGGATGGACAATGCTGCAGAGGAACCCATCGACTACTATGCCACTGCCCTCAAGAGCAGGGCATACAGTGTGGAGGACTTTCCCCCAGACAACTTGGAGTCAGGGAGCATGTACAGGAATGGCACTTGCACCTCCAGGATTACCACCCTCTGAGGAAAAATTCCTACCCCCCAGCTCCCCTACGCCCCCCAGGTGGAGGGTGAGCAAGGGCAGGGCTGTGGCATGGGGAGCTGGGAGAGAGGGGATTTCAGTCCTGCCTACCAACAGCAGTGTTAGGCACAAGAAAGAGCAAAGAAAATCCCACATCCTTGATCTGCTGCCCCCTCAACTCAGGGAGGCACCAAGGCTGCCTCCCTTGAGAATGAGTGTATTCACTGATGCTTTGACACCCATTTAGCAAATTGTGGCTCTCATGGGTTAACTTAGGGTCCGGCAGCCTGAGCTTTGCCACCCCTCTCTGTGTCTGACAAATGGCTGTACAGATGACTCTCCCACCACCTTTTGTACAGGCTGCCCTTCCCCTTGGCTTGTGGGACCCTCCAGGCCACTGAGTCGAGCCTGCCTCCGTCAAGCCCCAGCATCCAGGCTCAGATTCCCTCGGACTGAAAATGACCCTGCTCAACATCTGTCGGTATGTGCCTCCCCCATCAGAGGTTAGAAATACTGGAAAATGTCCCCACAACGCACATCTTGCCCTCCCCCAGGAAGGAGCAAGTAGCCTCTCTCTGCACCTACCCTTCCCTTCCCCTGGAATAAAATAGAAAGCAGGAAGGAAAAAGTCCCCTAGAAAATAAGCAGCATAGTCATGGAGCTGTTTTTTGCTTTGCAGACAGCTTCCACCTCACTGGGGGTTTGACTCTCTGTGCTATGCTCAGTGAAAGCAGAGCAGAAAAGGTCTTGGGAAAAAAATCTGATTATTGCTGTGCTTCACAGCTGCATGGCAGGTTGCTGACAGTGGGAGATAAACAGTTCTGTGGCTCACAGGGAGCAGAGCACTGAGCCAGGAGTTGGAATGCCAAACTGGGAAATGTTTGAATGCATCCATACATACAATAAAGTGTTCTAATAATGAAGTTTAAAGACAGCGCTAGACTGTGAAGCTGCTGTCTTGCACCTGCTCTGTCAGCTGCAAAACAGCAATGAAGGGAGCCGAGACAGTTTTTGAATGACCTGGGTGGCTGCAAAGTCACTTTAGCCTACATGGAAAAAGAGGGATCCGTTTTAAAATCTCCATCTGGATCTGAAATAAATACTTGACAGAAAAAGTAGCTGTTTGGTAATAGCTATTACCCTAGCTCCAGTTTCTTCTGTTGCACTAAAAAATATAAAATGAGTTTCATATGTTGACAATGTAATATACTGATCCAGAGTTTCTCAACGTTTCATTTCTGAGAATTCTTGTTTTTAGTGTGTGCCAGATGTCCTCTTGTTTGATTTTTTATTTTATTCTTGTCACTGTGTTGTGAATGTGTTTTTCTGAAGCAATTTGTACTTATGTCTGTGGTGGCTACTCGCAAGGTTGCATTTAAAATCGGTGATGCTCAAGAAGGCTCCTTTTCAGATAAAAACATTGTCATTTTTCCTAACTCTTTCATCTACATTGTCTCCCCCCAAAAAACCCTCTTTTGAGTTTTCTCTCTTCCCCTCTTATGACAGAACAATTTTCATATAGACAAATGAAGCTTTCTTTGATAAATGACAGCTGATTAAACAAAACCTTCTGTCCCTGCTCCCTCTTATCCCAGACATAAGAATCAGTACAGACTGTGTTGAAACAAGCAGCTATGTTTTTTCTTTCCACCACCTATGCTAACAGTGTCACGCAGTGGCAAGTGTCCCAGTAGCTGTGACAAATCACTTCTCTAGCACAATACTGTGGTTGTATTAATTATAACTACTGGCAATCTGATGCAAAAGATTGGAAAAAAGCTCTAGTAGCAGCATACCCATAGCATTGTAGATGTAGCTACAGTGCTTAAGTACAGTGTTAAATGTAAGGCTGACAGTTAAGGTATCTAGGATTTTTGGTGGTGGACTTACTACAGGTTTTTGTTAAATTATACCCTTTAACTTTTCTCAGCAGCAAAAAGCAGGATACTACTTTTAGGTACTGTGTCATGAATGTATAAATTTAATATTTCAAAGTTATCTGATTCAAAGTCCATAAAAATGAGAGAAAAAAATCCTAATTCACCTCAGTGGACTGTGAGTCAGTTCCTTTGAGTTTAAAAACTGTTGATGTGGAAACTGTTACATCCTTATTAAAATATTTCGTGATAAGCTTTTACAATTGTACAGTTTCTTTTATTTCACAGTGGATGTTACTTAAAGAAAACATGCAAATATTAATTTTGGTAATGTTTTACATGTATGTATGGAGAAATAAGGATGAAATCTCTTTATAAGCTTCATATTTTATTTAACTTTTCCCAGAAATCAAACATCTGTCAAAACAGTAAAATGCCCCATGATACTCTTGTTGGCCCTTTGTAAGGCTTCACTTAAATTCTCACTCATAATATCTTCAAAATGGTATAAATCTCATAATCTCACGTGATCTTTTTCACCCAGGCATATTCTTATGTATGGTCAGATAAAAAGAGTCAGTCGACTTTCTACTATTGAATTTGTTTAAGGTCAAACACAAATGAAGCAAAAGCTAAAAAGTATTAAGATTCGTACCCCATAATCACTTTTGATGAAAAGTTCAACCGGGTTTTGTTCTTTTATTTTTTTTTCTTTTTCCTGTAAACAAGGTTGTGATGGATGACTGCACACCTACTAGCATATGCACTTTAATTTCAGTTCCCCAGGCAGATCGCAGAGGCGGGGTGTTCGCAGCGGTGGTGTGTGCCTCAGTAGGTGGCAGGCTTGCGCTAATTCACTCCCAACCACTACCCCTATGATTACTGGCTAAAACGTCCTGTGTGGTTTCAGCTGGAAAGAAAACCTGTTTATCCCAAACTAACAGTTCTTCCTGTTATTCTTCACCCTTGGAGATGTGATCAACAGCAGTAAATCACTCTTAATTTAGCTAGAAAGAAAGTTGGTTCATTCTGTGTTATTATTCTAAACAAAACTACCAGGAAGAAAAAAAGTTGTCCTCCTGAAATAATGTGTACCAGAAAACAAACAGAACTCTTTAATGCTTTCCAACTGAGAAATAAGAGTATTCAGATTTCATATGGAAATTATTTTACCTAATGCTTAATTCACTGAAGAGTACAATGATGTATTTTTTTGTGACATTTTGACTCTACAGCTATAACATCATTTATCTGCAAGTAGGTAAACTGTAATTTGTAACCAGTAGTATGTTTTTTGCTTTTTCCCCATAAGTTTTAGGCCAAAATCCAGATTACTTTTGTTCTTGTTTAGCCTGAGACCGATACCCAGCAGAGGGACAGCTCTGAACAGTATCTAGTGAACAGACTAGACTATTTCCTGTGGCACATATAAGGGAGAGTGATCTTCACATGGAACACACATCAGGTGCCTCTACAGCCTTTTCTCACTCAAAGGGGGGTGGCATAGGAAATTATTCTCCTTTCTCACCAGGATTTCCAGCACAGCAGAGAAGATGACACATCTCATAATCATGGGGCTGACTGTTACGCGTAGTTAGTGGGTTTGAACAAGACTGGTCACAGAGGCACTTTATACTTGAGCTGTGGATGAAAAAAGTGATGGCCACATACAGATATTCTGCCTCTTCAGGTGGTCCCTACATCAGAGAACATCACGCAGTGTATGCTTTCTTGGCATTCAACACTTAAAGAACCCATCTGATTTCTTCAGAGAGAAGGAGAATCAGGTTTCTGAATGTGACTAAAGAATTTCTGAAATGCCAGGTTTCCAGGGTATCAGAACAAAATAAAAGGCTTTCTGGTTGTTTCTGAAAAACTAAAAGTCTTCATTTCTAATATATGTGGCATGCTTTATTAACATTGACTATTCACTGTATTTAAACCAGTTTCCAAAAATCAGAATCTTAACTTTAAATACCAAACTAAATCTTACTAAAATAAGATAACTCAGTGATGTTGTACATTCATAAGATCTGTAAGATTTGACTTTACTCTGCTATATTTCCAGAACAACCATGACAATTAATGTCTTATAACCCTGATTAAAAAAAAAATCCAAGAAAAATGATTTTTAAAAGTCAGAAGAAATTAGCCAACAAAGAAGCATCGATCCAATGTTCTAGACTCAGTGATTGCAGCCCCTGGGAAACTTACTTGACACTAGGGCCTACAGACAATGTGAATTATGAATCTCTAGAGGAGAATAAAATATTTCTACTGAATCGTGTATTCAGCACTTCCATCCTCTTCAACACAGTCTTATTGGGCTGATAGCTGCAGGCTAAGCCACAGGAAGAAAGGATAATTTACTAATTAGATTTCTCTCTAAGAATAATGCTTTTAGATATTACATTTTGTATACAGAAATGGCAAAAAAATAGGTGAATAAGAGAGTATTTCAAAGTATATCACTGGACAAACCTAGCACAATTTTGACAAGAAAGATATTTTTCAATAAAAGGTAACTATGCCCACTCCCTTCCAACTTTGTTTCTCCAAAAGCCTATAATCTGATTTTGGCAAAGCAGTAAGCAGCTATGAAGCAGACACAGCGAGGTGCTGTATCCCATCTGAGATATATAGGGTTTTTGTCCAGTCTGGATGGAATTCATTTGTCATTATATGATTATCATGTCTATATGTGTAGAGTCACCAAGAAACAATATAAATGTACAGAAAATCTATTCTACTCTCCCTTCCCCTCCCACCCTGAAAAGTCTTTTCTATACAGATTCTTGCACTGTGTAATATGACTGAGGGTTGCTCTGTGGGTTCTTGAGCTTCCTAACTAGAAAGACTCAAATAATGCACAGCATAGGGGAGTTGTAGGACAGATAACCATTACCAGATTTATGACTTGGGACCTGCTGATCACCATGATGAGCACTGGAATTGGACTGTATTGACGCTGCTTACCTTGTTGGTGATGGTGCTGTTCTCAGTGTACATGTGAACCCTACCAACCCAGGGGGAAACTGTGAACTTCTGCAAGGATGCTGTAATGCACCGCATTTCATAAAGCTGAACAGTGCTGAGCAATGCTGGTGCCACTGCCAACAGACTGAGTAAAGCCACAAGTTCAATTCATTCACACAGCACTTGAAAGTACTTAAATTCACAACAGCAAGCTCAAGTGATTGCTGGTCAACTGGAGTGGCTCAAAACATGGCAAAGCTGTAGAAAGCAAGAACATGTGAATGTATACACACACGCTTCCTTCTTGTATAATATATAAGCATCCTATTTCTTCAGTTATCTAATATGTGACAGGATGAATTAGAATGTATATTGGTTATAAAGGAATTAATGATAATCAGAATTCAGATTCCAGTTGCTTGACAGGTATTTAGGCAATAGTAAGTCTCTGTTTTGTTAATTCTGCTATGGAGGTAAGTCCATGGTTGGAGCTGATAGAAGGAGATCTTGGAGAAAAAAAATTGACTAGTGTTTGATTTAGAACTGGAGCAGCTATATTTGGAGATATCGCTTCAATGTTCAGAAAGTTTGGAGCTTTCTAGGACTCACTGCCAGCTGCAATTGCCCAGCACTTCAGGAAATAACTATCCATGACTACTATATGGACCAAGCACATCCTTCCACAGTTAGGTTAAGAAAAACATTTCCATCTGAGGTCTAAATCAGGAAACTAATGCAGGCTATGATTATGGTCTTTTCACTATTTAGTTAGGTTAAATATGTTACAATACATTGTAAATGTATACAAAAGTGCATTATCTATCAGAGTACCAGCTAAGGGCTGGGGATCTTACCACTTTCTGGTTTCTGTTAAAAACAGACAGATGGATCTTGCCCCCTTACCCAAGTCAATGAAAGGCAAGTCATGGATAAAAGAAAAATTTGAAAAGCATTGCTTTATTGAATAGAAAATCAATACCTATACATTGAGTTTATTTTCCCAAAACTGTAGGAAAATTATTTTGTATATGATTTGGTCACAGAAAGGAAAAAGACACTTTTAGAAGGGAAACTGACAGTACAATACCCTAAAGAAGCCTTTTAAAGGAACTTCGTATATCTTCATGAAATCTAGAACAACTTTGATATCAAAACATGCTTATGGTCTTATGACTTGTATTTTCTATACCATTTTGTATTCTTTCTACAAAATTGAGTGTTTTCATGAGAAAAGTTGCTTGTTTACTCACTGAAGACTCTTGGCTACTGTCGGTAACTGATTTCAATCATGTCTTGAACAGCTACAGTCTGTGGTTCGTGCCTGAGCTTTATACAAATTACACAAATCATAAGAGCAAATGAACAAATGAAAGAAAATTTAATTAAATGAAAGATAAGAAACACAGAGAATGGATTCATTGAAGCACAATATATATTTTAATTTTTATGCTAGTAGCTGTTAACTAATATCATAATGAGTCCAGAAGAAATTGAATCTGATCTGCTACTTATACAGGATTCTACAAAATCCTCAACAGTTATCTGGGAAGAAAAGTGCTCTCAAACACTCGTATGGAAAGAGGTTATGTGTGTGAGGGACAGGTGGGGTTTTAATTGTCCCTGTTGTTATTCCTGTCATTTATGGTGGAAAAGAAAGTGGAAGGCTTGCAGGGCTTTATGGGATATCATAAAAGAACAGGCAAAACATTCAAGATATATTCATATCAGGGCAAAAGATACATAATTAATTTCATTGTGTAGGGTACAACAAATACATAAACTCCCAACTCACTAAAAAATATGAAATTCTGCTTTTTACGTCAGCTGCTATTTTCAAAGCTGGCTGTTCTTTCTGAAGGTTAGAAAGTATATAAGCATTTTTTCTAAGAATTAAATAATAATTTAAGTACTTTTTGGGATTACTAGAAACACTGGAAAACAAAGCAGAAATAGAGAAATAATATATTTTTTTTAATGTTAATTTATTTTGGATTTTTCAAATGCCTTGAATGTCAAGGATTTTTCTTCCTTTTATCATTAAAACAGAGAAAAAGACCGAAGAAATTTTTGCTCAACACCAACCATATTGACAAGAAAGAAATGGAATACAGAAGCATTTTCACTGCTCTTTCAATGTCACAAAAAAATTTACAGACTTTCTTACTTCAAAAGCATCCTCAGTGCAATGACTTGGAAAACTATTTTCCATAAGAGAAAAAAACCAAACTCTCAAGAATGAAAAGGAATGTTCATGCATTCCTCTCCATGGACCTTGAAACTCT